TTTTTTATTTGTTTGTATTGGGAATTGTCAAATTTACAAGATTTTAAAGTTCTAACAAAGTTTAACTATTTATAGAAATTGTAAAATTAAACAAGGGTTTTTTGTTAAATTGTTAATTTATCAAACAGAAAAAGTATTTATTATAAATAGAACATTAAAACAAGTTTAAAAGTACAGTGAATATTCGATAAGAGGGCTATTCGATATAAGGATTTATTCGATAAGAGACCAAAAAATAAGAGGAAGGTCTCTTATCGAATATTGAAAAAAAATCAAAAAACAACAACTTCTTTTTTTGCTATTTTTAATGTTTTTTTGTCCAAAACCTTAATATGGTAATACATAAACCAAATTGTCATTAAGTTGAAAAAAAATCAAAATAATTATAAATAATATTTTAAAAACAAAGAAATTTTTATCTAAAACCGATATAATGTTAATTAACGTGTCGTTAAAGAGTGTTGAATTATGATAAAACAACGCATGTTTATTTTGAAAACCAAGAGTTGTCAATATTGCTCTTCATATATTCGTTCTAATGCTGTTTATGTTGTCTGTCAATATTTTGATTCTATAACGGACGTTTTGTGTTTTAATAAACACTAATAATATAAAGCATTTGTTTTTCATATTATAAATTACAAAAATTTTATAAAAAAAGGCAAAAATATTTTTTGGGTGAAAATATAATTTGGATTTATGTTGAGACAAAAAACAAAATGTGGTATTTTTTGTTAATTATTCAAGTTTTTATTATTTGACCTTATATCGAATAAGACTGGAACATAGACTGGACTATTATCGAATATATACTGTATTTTTGTAAGAACTCAAAAATAAAGAAGAAATTAAAGATATATAATTAAATATTTTTTAATGATAGATATATTGTTGATTATTGATTGTTGAATTGTAAACAAACTAATTTTTTTGATAAAGACAATCTAAAATCACAATAAATTAAAAAATAATCTTATTTTGTATAACCATTAACATACCATAATTTTTTGGTTAATAATTTATATTAAAATTAATAGTAATTTTAATATTTTTCAATTGAAATTAACCAATAGTTACAAGCATCTTCCTTTCTCTAGCATCCCCATATTTCCTCCTACTGTAATTATATGCGATTATTAGTTAAATACAATGAAAAAAGCCATTGCTGCACCAAAAGAAGCCACACCAAAAACTGCAGCCACTGAGAAAATGTGTTAAATAAAAGCTACAACGTGAAATAATTTAGAGTTTAGTAAATTAACCATAGTTTAGTAAATGTATTATAATTTATCCATTTTTTATTGGGGAAGTACTTGTCATTTTCTTTAAAACACGTTTTTTTATCATTGTTTGGTTTATTTAATATAGAGTGACATTAAGACTTTTCAGTATTTATATATAATTAATTCTATTAATAGCAATAGATTTAGGTAATTATTATTCTCACAAAAGATTGGCTTTTTAGCCAATCAAACCTTAAAACTGTACCAATATTAACTCGAATTAAGTTGTTATCTAAAAATTTTCCGTTCTTGAAAAGAACCCACATTTTACAGTTATTGCTTTAAGAGGTTTTATTGTAATACTATTTTAATGTGAGAACTTCAATAAGATAAAAAATATTGTAAAATTAGAGTAATTTTTTTAATTTGTAGTGAATTCTTCAAAAAGTTCAGAATGTTGTGATTTTAAAAAATATTGTTAATAGCTTGTGTTATTGTTGAAATTCGTTTTTCAATAAAAATAATCAAATTAATTCATTTTTTGAAGTTAAATATAAAGTAAATAATTTAAGAACTAAATATTTATTTGTTGTACCTGACAATAATCATTGTTATGTACAACAAATAAATGAACAATCGTGGATGAATAAACAATTTAGACATTTATAAACGTTTTAGACTCTTCAAACAACAGATAAATTAATTAAGTAATCATTAAATGATTTATTAAATAATAATGTATATATAATTATATTTTTTTATGATAATATAATAACATTAAAAAACAAATAAAATTTAACTAAAATCAACTTTTTTCCAATAATAACTTGTTTTAATAATTTTGTTAAATAAATAAAAAATCAATTTATTTTTTTTTCAATTATTTCAACAATTGTTATACTTGTAATAAAATAAGTTTTTTTGTATTTTTTTCGTTTTTCGTAGTAAAAGATAATAACGACGCCATGATATTAATAAAAACAAATTATCAAAGAAGGTCCCGTAGCACAGTCGGTAGTGCATCGTACTTATAGAATAGAGTTATGCGAGGGTCGCGGGTTCGATCCCCGCCGGGACCATTTTATTAAAATTTAAAAAAAATGATGTAATTTTTTTGATAAAGTCAGTCTGGAAACCTCATTTATTCTAAAAACATTATTAAATAAAAAAATAGTTTATTGTTTTTTTCATTTGGTTTTGTTTTTCAAATTATTTTTTTTTTAAAAAAGGTAGAGTATAACTGTTTAATTTACAGTTGACCAACTAATTATCAGACACCAACTAATAGTCAGATCGGTGTATTTCCAATTGATTACATCGGAAATAACGGGTTTTAAAAAAGTAAAAAAAGGTAGACCAAAAAGTGGTCAGTAACTTAAATCTATTTTTATTATAGTTCTCATCTAAAGTTTTAAAACTATTCATTTTACATACAATAATAATTTTATTTTATTTTAAACACAATAAACCATTTTATTGTGTCATAATGTTATAACATGATCTTCCCGGTTCTAAATTAAAATACTACAACTAATTTGATATACATCTTAAAAAATAAAAATATATGAAAGAACGAGTCGTTCGTGCAACTTTTGTTGGTGATACTCAAGTTGGCAAAACTAAATTTATTATAACTTCATTAATTGGTGTATTTCCATATGAATACATTCCCACAATATTTGATAATTACATTAAAACTGTTGATTTTCAAACAATTAAATATCACATCAATATGTTAGACACAATCAGCGATAAAAATTTAGGAAAACAAATTAATGATCTTGTGTATTTAAACTCGGACATTGTTTTATTTTGTTTTTCTGTTGATTCTAAAAATTCACTTGATTTAATTCAAACATATTGGATACCCGAGGTTAATAAGATGTGTACCAATTACTGCTGTTTTCTTGTTGGTATGAAATGTGATATGAGACACTCAGTTAATAAAAATGATACCCAATTTGTCACTATTAATGAGGCACTGCATGTCGCAAATGAAATTGGTGCTATTAGATAAATCGAATGTTCTGCTTTAGAATTTTTTAACATCGAATATTTATATTTGCAATGTGTAAAAAAAGCACATAAAATGCACAAAAATAAACAAAGATTATATAATCGAGTAAAAAATTATTAATTTAACACTTAAAAAAAACATCGTTTTTTTTCTTTGAAAAAATATTTTTGCTTTTAAAATGTTTTTTAAAAAAAATACGTTTTAAAATATAATTTCACTTATTCAAAAAAAAAGGGAAAATGTGTATTGTAATACACACGAAAAAAACTTGATAAACAAACAA